ATTCATTAGCCGGGCGTGGTAGCGCGCGCCTGTAGTTCCAGCTACTTGGAAGGCTGAGGCGGAAGGATCGCCGGAGCCCAGCAGGTCGACAGTGGGATGGCCGTGAGTGTGTCACTGCGCTCCAACCTGAGTGATAGGGTGAGACTCCAACTAAAAAGAAAAAAAATTACGCTAATAACTGTCTTTTAACGTTTGCAGCAACAATAAATGAGATAATGGATGTCAAGAACTTAGTATGTTATCCAACACATAGTAGCTCCTCTATATACAGCAGTTCTCTTCTCCAGACAGTACCTAAATCTGGTGTAAGAGAGATTTGGTTACTTTGCAACTTAGAAATCGTTGCAGAGAATCCTTCTAATCATTGACATAGAGGTTAGTGTGGTGTCTGTGTGTGTGTGTACACACTTTTTTTTTTTTGCATTGGCGTCTCTGTCATCAAGGCTGGAGTGCAGTGGCACGCTTACGGCGGACTTGCTGGGATCAGGCAATCCTTCCACCTCAGCGTTCCAAGTAGTCAGAACTGCAGGTGTGCACCACCATGCCCAGCTAATTTTTTGATTTATTGTAGAGACAAGGTCTTGCCTAGTTGCCCAGGCTGATCTTGCTTGAGCCCCTGGACTCAGTCCTCTCACCTTTGCCTCCCAGAGTGCTGAAATTATAGGTGTGATTCACTGTGCCCAGCCAGTTAGTATACTTTTATTTATTATTATTATTTTTTTATTAATCAGTATTTTTATTATGGTTTTGTGGGGTACAGTTAAGGGTTAGGTGTACAATTACGTTTCATTCAGGCACCCTGTTGATAAGAGGTGTTTTCCCATCCCCAGACAGATATTTGCTACTGTTAATCCCATCCCCCTCCCCCCCATAGTTTCCCAGTACCGTCAGTCATTTTCTTATAGTATTACATTGGATGTTCAAGGTCCATTATATCAGTTAGTATACTTTTAAAGAAATAATTGAGTATTTGTTTAGTTTGGAGTCTGGTTGTTAGGTTATCCAAGAGAAACCTGGCAGATACAGAAACTTCATGTAGTAACTGAGTGATGAATTATGAGATAATATGTTTTTTTGGTTTTTTTTTTTTTACTTTTTCTATTATTTGTTTATTTTAGCTGCAAAGGCATCCACACCTTAAAGTGCTATGTCTGTGCAGCCCTGTCACCATATTTAGTCACTCTGGTGGAAGAGGACTAAAGCCACATGTTCTACAGCTTACTCAATGTGACCCTCCTACTTTGTCCACTCTATGTCAATTGCCTTTGATCCCTAATGTTAATTTCCTCAGGATTATGTTGTAGTCCTTTCTTCATTCTACATACTTTTCCGTGTGGCTTCATATACTACTATCACGTCAGTAAGCTCATTTATATGTTAAGGTCTCTCAAATCCAGCCCAGGCCTTTCTGGCCTTTAAATTGATACATCCTTTTTTTTCTATATATCTCTGAGATGTCTTAGCCAAGCCAAAACTGAATTCAGTGTATTTCCCATTCAAACAGAACTTTCTTTATCAGTAAATAGTACCTCTATTCTCTATTTGTTAAAATCTAGTTGTCATTCTTAGCTTCTCTCTTTTTAGTATCACCAAACATCCAGTCAGCCACCAAATCAGACAGACGTGCCTTAGCTTCTTGTTTCGTTCCCATTCTCACTATTGTCTAAGTGACCATCATCTCATCTAGACTGCTGGGTGAGGCATAATAATGTTAAGAACATGAGCTCTGGATTAAGACTGCAACTTACAAGCTGTGTGAATTGGGCATGCTATTTATCGTTTCTGTACCTCGATTTTCTACATCTGAAAAAAATGGAATAATTATATGCAAATACTCCTCAACTTTGTGTGGGGTTACATCCTGGTAAGCTCATCATAAATTGAAACTATTGTAAATTGAGAGCTAGGCACAGTGGCTTACACCAGTAATTCCAGCTACTTGGGAGACTGAAGTGGTAGGATTGTTTGAGGCCAGGAGTTCAAGATCAGCCATGGCAACATAGCAAAACTCTGTCTCAAAAAAAAATTTTTTTTAATTTGCTGGGCGTGGTGGTATGTGCTTGTGTGCCAGCTGCTGGGGAGGCTAAGGTGGGAGGATCATTTGGGCCTAGGAGTTTGAGGCTGCAGTGAGCTATGATCATACCACTGCACTCCAGTCTGGGCAACAGAGCAAAACCCCGTCTCTTTAAAAAACAGAAAAGAAGATATTGTATGCTGAAAATGCATTTAATATACCTAACCTACCAAACAGAACATTTACATTATTAGCCTGCAGTTGGATAAAATCATCTAACGTAAGACCTGTTTTATAATAAAGTGTCAAATATCTCATGTAATTCATTGAGTACTGTACAGTACTAAAAGTGAAAACCAGAATGGTTGTGTGGGTACTTGGAGTAAAGTTTCTGCTACTAAATGCATATTGCTTTAGAGTTATTGCAAAGTCAAAAAATTGCAAGTTGAACCATAGTAGATCTGTGACCATCTATATTTACCTTAAAGTGCTGTTGGGACCATTAAATGAGACAATTCGTGTAGAGTGCTTAGCCAATGCCTAATACATAGTAAAACACTTCATAAATGTGAATTGTTACTATTATTATAGCAGCCTACTAATTGGTCTCCCTGTATCTGTTCTTGCCAGCTTCCAAGTAGTATTTTTGAAAACAAGTCATTTTCCTGCAATAATTTCCCATTGTCCTTAGAGTAAATTCCAGAATTTGCCCATCTTTCTGGCTTTCTCCTCTGGCACTGTGTCCCTCACCTTTCAGCTGTCTGAACTACTTTCAGATCATTTACCATACCATTTTTCTGTCTTCTGGCTTTCCCACTTGGTGTTTTTTCTGCCTAAAATGACCCTTCCTTTTCCCTTCTTACTCATCCTTTGTTACAGTTTCAATATAATTTCCTCCAAGAGGCCTTCTCTGACTTTCTAAACTGAGCTAGTCTTGTATGTACTCCCCTTAACACCTTTTCTATTCATTTACCACCCTTGTAGTTATTTGTTTTCTCCACTTCTCTATGAATGACTGGCAGTGCCTGCATTATCACTGTATTCTCAGCCTAACAAGGAGCATGCCTGGCACATAGATAGCCAGTAAACATTTGTTTTATTGAAATTAATCTCAATTTCTTCATTTTGGTATGGCAATAATCCTCACTTCTCAGTGTTATGGATCAAATGACACACTACACGTGAAAGTATTGTTGTCACTTGGAGTTGTAAAACAAAGCTTTAAAATAAAATGGAAATATTTTAGTATTGGGCCATTTTGAAGCCATTGCTAAAATTAAGTAAGCTCCATTAGAGAAAGGACTTAGTTTCTGCTTTGTGCACTCCTATATTCCCTAGATCCTAGAGTAGGGTCAGTCAATATTTGTAGAAGGAAGGAGCAGTATGTCATAAAAATAAAAGATTTGAGAAGCTAGATGAACTTAGTAACACACTTCTGAGTATATTTCAAATACTCAATCCTGTAGCTATGATCTGGACTTTGTTTGTAATTTTGTATCTCCAAAATCAAAAACCACAGGCATTTCTCTCTAACCACAGCTATCTGCCTTTCCATCTTACTTTCATCATACCTGTTCTTTAATAGATGTCTAGGTAAATAGAATCTATTGCTTTGCTGTCCTTAAATTATTCTTTAAGAATATAGGTTGTGTGTCCTGTTATTTCAAACATTCTTGCCCTTATCCTAAATTCCCTTGTACCATTGTCTTGGTGTCTAATCCTGGCAAAGCTCAAACTTGGATAAATCCAGCTATCTATTCCAATAGAAGGGGAGGGTGAAGGATGAATGTGGATGCAACTTAATTTGTTTGTTAGGGAGCGACTAAGTAGTTTTAGTTTTTGGCTTCTAAGTACTACTAGACAAAATCACAGATGATCAGTATGGTACCACATTAAAGTCATCATTAATCTTGACCATGTTTTCAACATTGCTCTGCAGTCCTGCCATGTTTTGCTACACTTTTTATTTCAGTCTATCTATTTTCAATTCCAGCTTGACTTCTTTATGACCTCCTTCTCTCCAGGGAATAACTTCCTGCCTCCAAATTCACAGACCTGCGTGATCTAAAATTCACGTTGGGAAAGGTGCCTCTTTTCCTTTCCAGTATCGAATCCCTTACTGAAGACTTTTGCTATCTTGAGCATTTACCTGCCTTTCTTCTGATTCCTTCCCACTGACATATAAATATGCTCATTCTTTCTCTTTATGAGGAAAAAAACTTCCTTTTCTTCATGTCCCCTTATAGCTATTGCTTTTTCTTTTTGCTCTCTATCTCTATTTTTTGACCCACCTCAAACTAGTTTATGCCCCACCAAAAACAATAACCCCTTTTATATGTTAAAACTAGTGGGCTGCCAGGCATGATGGGGTGTACCTGTACTCCCAGCCACTTGGGAGGCTGAGGTAAGAGGATTGCTGGAGGCCAGGAGTTTGCAAAGTAATGTCAGACTTTTGTAAAGTGCTGTTGACCACTTCTAGAAGTATATTCCATATTCCTGACCACTGTCCCCTGGTTATTCTGCTCCCTTGCCTATACAAGTTGGGCATTTAAGAAGGTAGCTCCAGAAAGGATTGCAAACAGGGTAAGGGGTGCAGAAGGATGGTGGTAGGTGGGTTCAGAAAGTGCCTAAAAAGTAAAGGATTCTAATGGACTCGGGCAGTTGTAGGTTTTATAACACTGAGTAGCAATTTCAGGGAAATTAGTTTTGTTCCCTTGGAGGTAGGGTTTGATTTTTTTTGTTTTGTTTTTTGTTTTTTTTGAGTTGGAGTCTCACTCTGTCACCCAGACTGGAGTGCAGTGGCCGCTTCTAGCCACCGCAGGAACCCATCGACCTGCTGGTTTCCGGCGATCCTTCCGCCTCAGCCTTCCAAGTAGCCGGAATTACAGGCATGCGCTACCACGCCCGGCTGATTTTTTGATTTATTGTAGAAATGAGGTCTCGCTGCCCTGGTGGGTCTCGAACCCGCGGGCTCAGGCAATCCACTCACCTCAGCCTCCCAAAGGTGCGGGATTACAGGCTGAGCCACCGAGCCCGGCTGGGTTTGATTATTTATTTATGTATGTCTTGGAGTCAGAGTCACACTGTGTCGCCCAGGCTGGAGTACAGTGGCATGATCACAGCTACTGCAGCCTCATCCTGCTGGGCTCAGGCAATCATTTTGCCTCAGCCTACCAAGTAGCAGGAACTACAGGCGTGCCACCATGCCCGGCTAATTTTTTTATTTTATTGTAGAGACAGGTCTTGCCAAGTTGCCCAGGCTCGTCTCAAACCCCTGAGCTCAGGCAGCCCTCTTGACTCCACCTCCCAAAGTGCTGGGATTATAATTGTGAGCCACTGTACCAGGCTAAGGTTTGAATTTAAGATTGCAAGTGTGGAGATAATCAGGTTGTTTTACTTTTTTTTAGAAACAGTCTTGCTATGTTGCCCAGGCTGGCCTTGAGCTCCTGAATTGGGCTCAAAAGATCTTCCTGCCTCAGCCTTCTGAGTAGCTAGGTTTACAGGCACCAGCTGTTTTACCTTTTTATTTATTAATTGTGCTGACTAACATCCAGCCTTTAAAAGCAGGATATAGGTGTAGCTGTATAGTATGTTAAATTATACTGTTATAATTTGGAGACATCATAAACATTTTACTTATTTATTTATTTTAGGGGTGGAGTCATGCTGGAGTGCAGTGGCATGATTGTAGCTCACTGTAGCTTTGACCTGTGCTTAAGCTGTCCTCCTGCCTCAGCCTTCCTCCCAAGTAGCTGAGACTACAGGCACAGACATTTTAGTTATAGACATTGTGTTCTTTTTCTTTAATCCATTGTTCTCTAACAATTACTAGAAGACAAATGGTCAGGCTTATCTCGTTAAAATTCTGCTATCTCTTAGTCGTACTTTGAAATCTGGAGACAGCCATATATATAGATCTGTTTGCAAACCCATTTTTTTGCTTGTTTCTGAATTAGAGACACAGTCTTAAGGCACTAGAGTAGCAGTTCTCAACCTTAGCAAACTGAACACATTTTTTATAACAAATCATTTGTATCAAATGTAAAATCATTTGTAACAAAGTGCAGCCACTTTGGAAAATAGTTTGGCAGTTCCTTAAAAAGTTAAACATGGAGTCATTCTATAACCCAGCATTTCAACTTTTATGTATATGCTCAAAAGAAATGAAAACATGTATGTACACAAAAAACTTGTAAACATGTTCATTATTCAAAATAGCCAAAATGTGGAAACAATCCAAATGTCCATCAACTGATGAATGGATAATACAATGTGGTATAGCCATACAATGGAATATTATTCATCAATAGAAAGGAATGAAGTAATGATATATACTGCAACATGGATGAATCCTGAAAATGTTTTGGTAAATGAAAGAAACCTGAAACAGAAGACCACATATTATTTCATTTATATAAAATGTCCAGAATAGGCAAATCCATGATGACATGAAGTAGATTAGTATTTTGCTGGGGGTGGGGGGAGTGGGAAGAAGTGATTGCCAGTGGGTAAGGGAGTTTCTTTGAGAGCACTGAAAATGTTTTGGAACTAGATAGTGCTGGTTGTTGTACAACTTTGTGGGTATGTTAGAAACCATTGAAAGTATACCTTAAAAGGGCGAATTTTATAGTATATGAATTATGTACTGCCCTGAAATGAAAATATTTTATAATACTGCATAATCTACCTACCTACCATATAATTTCAAAAATTAACATTCTAATTTTAACATAAAGAAGAATGAAAAGGAAATTTATGGTAAAATATGAATTTCCAGGGCTGTCATGTATGCCAGGCCAGTGGTGTACAGCACATTCCAAGGACACTGTGTACAAGCACTACAAGTGTGGTAGCCCTGTGTTTATAAATGCTTAGTTACTACTCCACTAAACACAGAAACTGGGGGTTGCTTGTACCTCAGAAGCATTAGGAAACCAGCAGCCTCTAATGAAACTGATATAGGCATTCTATTGGTCACTCAAATTATGAGCAGCTTTGCTGGGGTAGCAGGGTTTTCTAAAAGAATAAAGAATAAAGGATGATATTCCTTTGTTTTATATGATACTTAGGATTTTTCAGCTTTACAGTGGTGCGAAACTGATACGCATTCAGTGGAAACGGTACTTCGAGTTTTGGATTTTGATCTTTTCCTGGGCTAGTGATAATGCAGTAAGATAACACTTTCATGGTGCTAGGCAGCTAGCTCCCAGCTAGCCATGCGATTATGGGAGTAAACACGCAATATTCTGCAGTGTACTGTGTTGCCAGCTATTTTGGGGTATTGTGTTTTCACGTCCCATCATGCCTACAAAGTGTCCATCTGTGTCTCCTGCTTCTGGTGAGATAAAGAAGAGGAAGGTGATTACTCTTGAGATGAAACTCAAGATAATTGCCCAGCATGAAGGCGACAAGTCAGTAATGACCATCTCACGGGAGTTAGGGCTTTCACAATCCACAATTTCAACCATCTTAAAGGATAAGAAGAGAATCAGTGATGCGGTGAAGTAATCAGCATCAGTTAAATCTACTGTCATCACATAGAAAAGAGCTGGGCCCATTGTTGATATGGAAAAATTACTTGTTATGTGGATAGAAGACCAGATACAGAAGCACATACCGCTTAGCCTACTGATGATCCAGGTTAAGGCAAGAAGTCTTTTCATTATGCTAAAAGAGCATGCCAATGATCCTACATATACTCAGATGTTTAAAGCAAGTCATGGATGGTTCCAACACTTCAAAAGATGTCATAATTTTAGTAATATGAAGGTCAGTGGTAAGGCAGCAGAGTGCCAAAACTAAAGGTGCCAAAGCTTTTAAGGAACAGCTACATAGGATAGTTGTGGCCAAAGATCCTTGCAATGAGAAACTGACTGAACTGCAGGAAGAAATAAGTAAAGAAGTTGAGTCAGAGGAAGAAATTAAACCGAAGGCACCGAGAAAGTTTACAGCCCAAGAAACTAGCAGAGGCCTTTGCTGCTATCAGCAGTGGCATGCAGATGTTAGAAGAAATGAATGTCAGTTATGAGAGATTCGCAAGCGCTGACAGGCAGATACAGGATGCTCTTGCTTGCTATACAGAAATATATAATAAAAAGAAGAAACAAACTGAACAGTCAAAACTCGTCTTCCTGAAGAACACTATGCTTGCTGAACCATCAAGTGTTGCTGCCTCAGTGCCTTCTACCAGCCATCCTCGAGCCTCGTCAGAAGAGAGAAATTGATGACCCTGTTGCCATAGCATTCCCATCATCCAGCTATTAATTTTATTTCAATGCTTCAAACATTTTTCAGGACCAAGGTGCTTTCAGCTGCGTATTTTAATGGTAAGTGCCAATTATAATCTTTCTGGTTTTCATATTTGGTACAGTATTCAGTAAATTACAGGAGATGTTCAACACTTTATCATAAAGTAGGCTTTGTGCTAGAAGATTTTGTCCCACTGTATGCCAATGAAAGTGTTCTGAGCATGTTTAAGGTGGGCTAGGCTAAGCTATGTTGTTCAGTAGGATAGGAGTGTTAAATGCATTTTCAGCTTACGGTATTTTTCAATTAATGACATGTTTATTGAGACATAGCTTTGCGGGATTGGCAGTGGTAGGAATCTTCCCGGTGAGTGGGGGGCACACCTCTTCAACAAGGGCACCTGCATAATGAACATTTGTATACCCAACCCTGAGTTGTACCCCACATCTTTAAAGTAAAATAAAGTAAATCTAAAAAATTTTTAAAAAGAGAAATACAGTTTTATCAGAAGTTGAGGAGCCACTTGTATATATTAATACTATGCAAAAAATATTTTGTGTTCATATGTAAAATGAAGTTGGGTTCTAATCTCAGGTATTCAATTTTTCACCAACACTAATATCCAGTTGGACATCTCTTCATTTTGCAAGATTTTTAGCATCCTTGCCTGGGATTAGTAAATGTCAATAACGCACCACCCCAGGCCCAATAACATGACAATGGGAAACTTCTCTGAGGTTCTTCTGACGGGGAACTTCTTTGATTCTGTCTCCATTGAGAACTGCTGCATTCTGAAAACAGATTAGACCTGTATTCCAGGAAAGGGGTGAGTTATTTTTGGTTTCTTTAGATCTTTTAGACATCTTGGTAAAAAAGAACATTTTCTTTCTCCATGAGACTTAAGGAAGATTGAGAAATACAGTTTTTGGACTTGATGTGTTCGTTCACATCAAGATTCAAATGACTTAAAACTGCTTCATGTGGATACTTGAATCTTTTCTAGTATACCAGACAGGGAAGGGAATGTGTTAGAAACAGGGTGCATACATAAGATACATGGTATGTTTTGCCTTTTTTCTGGATGACCCCATACAGTTTTAAAATGTTTTCTCCACGCCTTTGGGAGGCTGAGGTGAGTGGATTGCCTGAGTCCGCGGGTTCGCAACCCGCCTGGGCAGCGAGACCTCAACTCTACAATAAATCAAAAAATCAGCCGGACGTGGTAGCGCATGCCTGTAATTCCGGCTACTTGGAAGGCTGAGGCGGAAGGATCGTTGGAGCCCAGCAGGTCGAGGCTGCGGTGGCCGGGAGCGGCCACTGCACTCCAGGCTGGGCGACAGTGAGACTCCAACTCAAAAAAATAAAAATAAAATAAAAATAAAAATAAATGTTGCTTTCTTTTTTTTTTTTTTTTGAGTTGGAGTCTCACTCCGGTTGCCCAGACTGGAGGGCAAATGTTGCTTTCTAAGCAGTAATAGTCAGCCGGTTTCTCTGATTAGCCTGTAACTTTGTAGCTTGTTACTGTGAAATAGTGATAATGTTTTTTTTCTTTCCTTTAAGATGCTCTCCAGATCCTTAGTTATGGAATATTTGGCTCATCCGGGTGCACTCAGCTTAGCAGTTGGGGTTGCTTGTGGCATGTGTCTGGGCTGGAGCCTCCGAGTACGCTTTGGGATGCTCCCCAGAAGCTCAGTGAGCAAGACAGAAACATATACTGGAACTGAAGCAAGCATCTTGGGAGAGAGTGGGGAGTACAAAATGATTCTTGTGGTTCGAAATGACTTAAAGATGGGAAAAGGAAAAGTAGCTGCCCAGTGCTCTCATGCTGCTGTTTCTGCCTACAAGCAAATTCAAAGAAGAAACCCTGAAATGCTCAAACAGTGGGAATACTGTGGCCAGCCCAAAGTGGTGGTAAAAGCTCCCAATGAAGAAACCCTGATTGAATTATTGACTCATGCGAAAACGCTAGGACTGACTGTAAGCTTAATCCAAGATGCTGGACGTACTCAGATTGCACCAGGCTCTCAAACTGTCCTGGGGATTGGGCCAGGACCAGCAGACCTAATTGACAAAGTCACTGGTCACCTAAAACTTTACTAGGTGAGCTTTTATATGATGATGATGATCCCTCTATCACAACTGTTTGAAGCTTGTCAGATTCTAATAATAAAAGCTGAATTTCTCCCCCCATTTTAAATGTTCTTGAGATGAAAATAAAATCCATTCCTGTGTTCTATCATGTGCTTGGCAGATACAGAGTTGCCATCTTGGGCTTTAAAAAATAAAATGGCTGGGCTTGGTGGCTCAGCCTGTAATCCCAGCACCTTGGGAGACTGAGGTGAGTGAATTACCTGAGCCCACAGGTTTGAGACCAGCCTGGGTGACTTGGCGAGACCTCGTCTCTACAATAAATCAAAAATTAGCCGGGCGTGGTAGCACAAACCTGTAGTTCTGGCTACTTGGAAGGCTGAGGCAGAGGGATCGTCTAAGCTCTGCAGGTTTACACTAGGGTGGCTGTGAGTATACCACTGCATTCCAGCCTGGGCAACACAGATTCCAACTCAAAAAGGAATAATTTGAAAAGAGCTATTTTGAGGCTGGGCTCTGTAGCTCAGCCTGTAATTCCAGCACTTTGGGAGGCTGAGGCAAGTGAATCGCCTGAGCCCGCAGGTTCGAGACCCACCTGGGCAACTTGGTGAGACCTCCTCTGTACAATAAATCAAAAATTAGCTGGGTGTGGTAGCATGCGCCTGTAGTTAACTGCTGTTTGGAAGGCTGAGGTGAAAGGATCGCCGGAGCCCAGCAGGTCAACGTTGGTGTGGCGGTAAGCATGCCACGCACTCCAGCCTGGGCAAAGGAGAGAGACTCCAACTCAAAAAGAAACTTCTGGTCACATCTGAGAAGTTGTGCCAAAGAAAGCACTTGGTGAAATGGTCTTGGTAGTTCAAGTGAGATGCTGAAACAAATATTTAAGATGAAAGGAATATAGTTCATGGTAAATTGGATTAAAAGGAGGAAACAGCATTTCCCTATACATGGCTAAGCCCTTTTGTGTGTTGGTAGCTTTTCTTCCCGAAGACTATGCTGCTATACCCTCAGAGGATACCCAGAGGTTCAAGGGTACTCCCACCCTGATGTCACTTTTTTTTTTTTTGAGTCAAAGTTTCACTCTGTGGCCCAAGCTGAAGTGCAGTAACACGCTCATGGCCACTACAGCTTCAACCTGCTGGGCTCAGGCAGTGGTTCTACCTCAGCCTTCCAAGTAGCTAGAACTACAGGCATGTGCCACCACACTTGTAGGGAAGTCTCACCAAGTTGCCCAGACTGGTCTCGAACCCCTGGGCTCAGGCAGTTCTCTCTCTTCCACCTCTTGAAGTGCTGAAATTACAGGCATGAGCCACTGCATCTGGCCCTGCTGTCACTTTTTAGATGATGATAGCCGGCTTTATTTTTTTGAGTTGGAGTCTCACTCTTGTTGTCCAGGCTGGAGTGCAGTGGCATGCTCACGGCCACCACAGCTTCGACCTGCTGGGCTTAGGCGATTCTTCCGCCTCAGCCTTCCAAGTAACTGGAACTACAGACATATGCCACTACACCTTGCTATTTTTTCTGATTTACTGTAGAGATGAGGTCTCACAAAGTTGCCCAGGCTGGTCTCGAACGCCCACCTCAGGCAATCCACTTACCTTATATTAATAGGTCATTATATTAATATTAATAGGTCATGATACCCACAGTGGAGTATTATGGTTTAAAATCTGTTTGGGTTTTTTTTTTTTTTTTTGAGTTGGAGTCTCACTCAGTCGCCCAGACTGGAGTGCAAGTGGCTGCTGCCGGCCACCACAGCCTCGACCTGCTGGGCTCTGGCGATCCTTCCGCCTCAGCCTTCCAAGTAGCTGGAACTACAGGTGCGCGCTACCACATCCAGCTAATTTTTTGATTTATTGTGAAGATGAGGTCTCGCCAAGTTGCCCAGGCAGGTCTTGAACCCGCAGCCTCAGGCAATCCACTCACCTTAGCCTCCCAAGGCGCGGGATTACAGGCTGAGCCACCGAACCTGGCTTCTGTTTGGATTTTTATGTCTCAAAGTTGAGGTTTGGCCAGGCACAGTGGCTCACTCCTGTAATCCCAGCAGTTTGGGAGGCTGAGGCAGGAGGATTGCTTGAGCCCAGGAATTTGAGACCAGGACCCTGGGCAACATAGTGAAATCTCATCTCTACAAAATCAAAAAATTACCTGGGTGTGGTCACATTTGCCTGTAGTCCCAGCTACTCAGGAGGCTGAGGCAGGATTGCCTGAGCCCAGGAGGTTGAGGCTGTGAAAAGCTGGTGTCATGCCACTGCACTCCAGCCTAGGCAATAGAGTGAGACCCCAACTCAAAAAGTTGAGGTTTTATAACATTGGTATAACACACCTGTTCAGTGTTTCATGCTCACTCTCACTGGTCTACACTGGCCAAATGTAATCAGCAGTTCTAAATCAGTCTAAATATAGTTTGTCATCCCTGATGTTCTTTCTTTAGTACTTAAAGAACTAGACAAGTAAAGACACTTTTTTTCCCTTTTGATCTTTATGTACTAGTAATCCTGGTAATTACTGACATTCCAGCTGCCCAGAATAGGAAGCAGAAGATTCCAACTCCTCAAAGCCAGTTTCCTGACTGTCGTCGTGCTAGAATCCATTTTTCTTTCAAGACTTCTTTTAGGAAGTCTGAGAGTAATTTCCAAATTAGGTATATCCCTAAGTACATTAATTATGCCAGGGAGAATTTTGGTATTATGATAGGCCATTTAAAGTAGCTCCAACTCTCCATGGTTAACTATTACACATATAAGCAGCATTATAGCATAGTTTCAAGGTCTAAAGTCATTGGTGGATTCTGGGCACAAACTGAAGAATACTGTAGCCAGCCATAAAAAGTTTTGATATTTTTGGGAGGCCAAGGTGAGTGGATTGCCTGAACCCGTGAGTTCAAGACCCGCCTGGGCAACTTGGTGAGACCTCATCTCTACAATAAATCAAAAATTAGTTGGGTGTGGTAGCGTGTGCCTGTAGTTCCAGCTATTTGTAAGGCTGAGGCAGAAGGATCGCCGGAGTCCAGCAGATCGAGGCTGCGGTGGCCAGGAGCATGCCACTGCACTCCAGTTGGGGCGACAGAGTGAGACTCCAACTCAAAAAAAAGTTTTGATATTTGATCCATTTTTAGAGTTTGCACAGGAATATGACAACAGGAGAAAGTCCAACTGTAATAATGCCACAGACAGCAGCTGTTTCCAAACAAAATATTTATACTAGCTTCAAAAGTGATGCAACAAAACGCAACACATAGAATTCAGTTAAACTCAATCCTAAACGCATGATTCTGGCTCAGGTCATTTCTGAGGCTTGCTCCAGAGAGACTGATGGCATTCCCAACAGGATGGCATGGGGTGGCTGATTTAAGTAATAAATCATGGCATATATACTAAGATGAATAGCATAGAAGTTCAGGTAATCCAGGAAATATATTAATACTTGTCTTCTATTACATTTGCATCTTATAGGACTCATAATTTTATAGTTCTCAAGGTATACTCTGCAGAATTCATGGGCTGTCTACAGGGTCAAAACTATTTTCATTATACTAAGGCATTTTCTTTTTCCCTGTGTTGACATTTGCACTGATGATTTAAAAGCAATGATGGGGAAAACTGCTGGTACCTCCCACAAATCAAAGCAGGGGTACCACCATTATATTGCACTTAGTATTCTTGAGAAAACGAATTAAGTGTTGGCCCATGACTTTGTCTTAACAGTCTGTGTAACATTAAACACTTCTGCTGCACATGGTTGTCGTCTTTATCTGTCTCTTCAGACTTCTCAAAATTTAAGACTCTTCTGGTGAAATCCATATTCCTGACAAATGATTTTTTTATTATATAATGTGTCAAAAATTTGAAAGAACTGTATAACTCAGTAAATCAATATTTTCCCATTACCAGTGCAGTTTATTTTGTTAACATGCAATGAATTTTATTTAAATTGATTAATATTTTAGAAATTTTCTTTAAATTCGAATATAATAAATATCAGTAATATAAATGATATTAACTAAAGCTCTTTGGGATCTTTAATAGTATTTTCTAGGCACTGTGGCTCACACCTGTAATCCCAGCACTTTGGGAGGCTGAGGCAGGAGGATTGCTTGAGCCCAGGAATTTAAGACCAGCGAGAGCTCATCTCTACCAAAAAAAAGAAAAAAAATTAGCTGAGCATGGCGGCACATGTTTGCAGTCTCAGCTACTTGGGAGGCTGAAGCAGGACGACCCCCTGAGCCCAGGAAGCTGAGAGCAGTGATTCATGATTGTGACACTATACTCCAGTCTGGGTGACAAGGTGACATCCTGATGTAAAACAAACAAAACATATATATATATGCTTTTTAGGCTCAGGGGGTCTGCCTGCCTCAGCCTCCCAAGTAGCTGGGGACTGAAGGCATGTGCCACCATGCCCAGCTAAATTTTGAGATATATATATCTCTAGAATGAGAATAGAATGCTACATGACTCAATTTACAGAAAAGTCATTACTTAGAGATCTTCTCTATTATACTAATGACCATATTGAAATAGATGTCAATGGGTATTAAATACCTGTTTGTACCGTGGCTCTATACCAGGCAAGAAAATCACTGAAAGCTTGTTTGTCACATGAAGTTTTTGACTAATCTCTATCCCCCTATTTAAATTATAAGGAATAAGAACTTTTAGTACTTTTTTCTATTTTTACTTCCTTCTCCTAGACCATCACCTTTAATAAACTCAGCATAGGCCGGCTGGGTCCAGTGGCTCACGCCTGTAATCCCAGCACTTTGGGAGGCAGAGGTGAGAGAACTGTCTGTGCTCAGGGGTTTGGGATCAGCCTGGGCAACTTGGTGAAACTTTGTCTCTACAATAAATCAAAAAATAAGCTGTGCCCTGGTAGTGCACGCCTGTAGTTCCAGCTACTTGGAAGGCTGAGGCAGAAGGATCTTCTGAGCCCAGCAGGTCGAGGCTGTGGTGGACGTGAATGGGACACTGCACTCCAGCCTAGGCAACAGAGTGAGACTCCGACTCAAAAAAATAAACTCAGTAATGTTAGGAAAGATTCTTGGCTTAAATATTTTTTTCTTTTTTAGCCAATGAATTCTACCACTTAGTATATACACAATTGCCCAGGCTGGGTCAGACATTTTGTAATTCAAACATAACCCACCAA